TGTCAGTGATTCTGACCAAGGTTCGAGCTACTTTCCATGGAAGATCATTGTTTACCCTTTCCACAAGTACACAATGGTGAGCTTGCCCAGCGCTTCGGGGAAGACTAACCGGAACAATCGTTTCCGATCTCGGCGGAAAGAACAATCTTCTTAATGCTGTACACGTTCCCTGGTAACGCACGTAAAAAGTTCCTCCTGTCACATTTCAAAACACCTTGCTTAACGTCGATCTCACAACAGTTATCCCTCATAAAGTTAGGCCCAGGATGCAGTCGTCCATTATATCAGCCACGATGACATTATGCAGGTAGATCACGTTGCCTAGCTTCAACTCCATCTCCTTCTCTCCACGGACGGTTATACCCTGAGCCAGTGGCTGTTACCAAATTAATGCGTTCTCGGTTGTATGCGGAGTCCCCAAGGAACTGACTTATAAGTTGGGAACTAACAACCGTACGAGAGGCTCTAGTGTCTATGGTCAGTTTACACGGCATTCCGTTGACCTCGCCCTTGTTGATTAGACTGTTCCCATCCTGGGTTTGTGAGATCGAGATCCTTGGGGCTCTTTTAACATTAGCCAGCACCCGCCCCGCAGTTCTAGCTTTTACTCGTTTCCCTGCTGCTGCTGGACGGTGCTGTTGGCCGCAATACCCTTCTGAGATCGTTCACCTTCCCTTTCTTGGGATCGCTTTGGGCAGCTGGATCGATGATGGCCCTTTTCCCCACAGCCATAGCACCTAGGGCTGAATCCTTTGTTGCGGTCGCGAACTGTAGCTGCTGCAACCTCCCTGACGTGATGGGAACGATGATCCTGCCACACGGCTTCCACCTCCAGTGCATGGGCCAAGGCGTCGTTAAGCGTCTCGTGGTGCCCGAGCCTCACAGCAGCTCTTACTTCCATTTCGCGGATGCCATCGGTGAATGTCTGCACCAGGTTCCCTTCAATGAGCGCAGGTACAGATCGGTATGCTTTTCGCACCAGCTTCTCCACCTCTAGAGCCCACCGCTGCAGGTTTTCGTTGATGCGCTGCACGCGATCTTTAAACTGCGCACGAAAGACGTGTTTCAGGTGAGCGTCGCCATATCTCACCTCCAATGCCTCAAGGAGTTGCTCATAAGTTACTTCCTCACCGAGAGCTTCCAGAACTGTTAAGGCCTGGTCGCGCAGGCCTAGTGTGAGAGCAGTCATGGCCTGACTTTTATTCCAGCCGTTCGCCTTCATAACAGCTTCAAACTGGACTTTGTAAGCTGACCAGGAAGAAGTCCCGTCGAATGGTGGCACTTTGAAGCCACGTAGCGAAGGTGTTGTAGCTACTGCGGGAGCTGCAATTCCATCTCCAAGTTTGAGTTCATCCACCGTTTTCTTAACTTGGTTGATTTGGGTCTCAGCTTCCGACAGGCGGTTATCATGTTGAGCAACCTTATCCTTCACCTCCCTTATCTCTTTCCCGAAGGTAGCGTGAAAGTCCATCATGAGAAGCTTCTGCTCTTCCTTGTTGCATTTGAGCTGCTCTTTTAAGCGACGGGTCTGTTCTTCCTCCTGCTCTTTCAACTGAAGGGCCTGTTCCTCCTGTCGGCAGGCCTGTTCCTCCTGTCGGCGGGCCTGTTCCTCCTGTCCGCGCTTCAGCTGCTCTTCCAATCGACGTGCCTGCTCCTGCAGCATCACTATTAGAGCACCTAATTCAGGTGCTGCAGGTTTAGGAGCTGCTAACGGGCCAGCCTCCGTGGCTGGCAGTTGGCCCTCTGACGTCTGCGGCGTTGCACCACCAAATCGTCTCTGGTCCGTCTCCTGCTGGCGTTTACTTCGGGTACGGACACCCTCCGTTTCCTCCTTAGGTAAAATCGGCATGATTTAATCCCACTTCTGACACCAATTGTTACGAGCTTGAGGTTCGTGACCATAAAACTGCCGATTGAATTACCGAAATTAACACTTTAATTCACTTTACACCAATTAAAATTTAAAACACTAATAATTAATCACACTAATTCACTTTATTCCGCTCCGAAGCTTCGCTTGCCTCGCCAAATTCAATACTTCCCCGATTGCATCTTGCAGCGCCTTTAAATACACATTATCACCGAAACATCCAGAATATTCAAGTAAATACGCGCGCCAATAGACAAGGCGTCGAAAGTTCGAGTGTCGGGCTTCTAGAAGCTTAGTTCTTCGTTTCGATACTAGATGGCGCTGTCGGTTGAAAGATTAGTGATGTCATTTTCTGGAAAGCTCCCCTCGCTCTTGTCTCCGACACTAGATGGCGCTAGTGCCGGTTACATGATGTCAACTTAGGCGCGCAAAAGTACTAAGTAGGCAGGACATAATGATTTCTTAAATTTACGCGAACACTACACATTGAATAAAACTAAATTTACGGATTTTATCGCGTTTATTTCACTACTTTTACTTATTTTTAATTCCCGATGTTTCGGGTGCTTTACAGCAACCATGGTCACGGGGGGGGACTGAGATGTTTGACGTCCCAATGTCATTGTTAGCCCAGCTACCTTCAGTTTTTGAATATTAATTTTTGGTCCGATTTACGCAAAACGAACTTACAGTATCTTGAAGTCTTGCAGTGGTATGCTTGGGTTTGGGTTTAATTTTGTTAATTGTAGGATCCCAAGCAGATGAAAAGTAAGTAAAAGTAGTGAAATAAACGCGATAAAATCCGTAAATTTAGTTTTATTCAATAGGTAGGACAACTTTTGTGTCTGGGATTCCGCCTACACAGGTACCACCTCCCTGGTACCTGTTTCTAGAGTTAGAGAGCAAGTGTAATTACAGACTATGAGGCCTTCCACCTAAAACCTCAGAGGTAAAAACACTTTTGTAGCCTTCCTTGCACAGAGCACATTTATCTACTTCCTTGTTTGAAATTGGCTGCATATGTCTATAGACTGAAGTATCCACTTATCAAGTGGACTGAATTCGTTTTTCACTATAGTTTTATTAATAAATGGTTCAGTATTGCAGTAACTTGTTTGGTTTGTTTGTTTGTTTGTTTGGGCCACGGATACAATTATTTCACGGAGCAAGTCTTTGCACGACTTACGCATAATTTTTCCGGGTGTGGATGTTTGTCTATGCGCAGTTTATATTTAGTATGTCTACGAAAATTTAATGTATTTTCACAAAAACAAAGATAGTTTTTGAAAAAATAAGTGATATACACTCTGTAAACACTAAGTACAAACATAAGCTAGTAATACCAGTTTCTCGACTCCAAAGAGTCAGTAATTCATTCTTGGGGCAATGTATACGCTATTACAACAAAGTCCCAGAAAATATACAAGGTTTCTCTATTACCAAGTTTAAATATTTAATTAAACAAAAACTGTATATAAAGGGTTATTATAATATAAATTAATACATGGTTGATAATAACCCCTGGGAATAACGTGTCTATGAATATATAGTTTAAAGAACTGAAAATCACTTCCAAGCTGTTTCTAAAATAAACTTTGATAATATTTTTTAACGATACATATTGTAAAATTTATTCTAAAAAGAAGTCCCACTAAGTTTCTTGCTGGTTCTTCCTAGGACGGAGTTTTTTTCTTCAAACCAGTGATAAAGTAAAAAATGACTTTCAATAAGAATTACATTGAATAAAAAATTATTCTATTCTATTAAACGCGTAAACGAAAAAATACCTGGTGTAGAATTTAACTTAAAAATTTACTACTAATTATCTCTATATAAACTTTAAGGCTATAAACTTACTTTTTACAAACTTTTTTTAAATATTAGATATTAAAAAAAATTTCAGCACTAATACACATGGTACATCACTGCTGGCCATAATATTGTTTCGCGCCTAAGTTGATGACTGGTACCTGGCACTAGCGCCATCTAGTGTCGGGGAACAGAGCGAGGAGAGCTTTTCAGAAAATGCCATGACTGAACTTTTAACCAAAAGTGCCATCTAGTATCGAAAAGAAGAACTAAGTTTTCTGGAAAGCTCCACACTTGAACTTTCTACACCTGGTCAATCGGGGGCCGGTATTTGCTGGAATATTCTGGATGTATCGGTGAAAAAGGCGTTTATAAAGGCGTTTAAGCCCGCAACCGGGGCAATGTTGAATTTGGCGATACAAGCGAAGCTCCGGAGCGAAATAAAGTGACTCAGTTTGATTAATTATTTTTTTGGTGTTCGGTAATTAAAGTGTTAATTTTGGTAATTCAATCGGCAGTTTTTAATTGTCACGAACCCTAAGCTCGTAACAATATCAAAGTCACTCAGCGGTCTCTCTGCTCGATATCTCGACGATTTTCTGCTTAATAAAATTCATAACTGTATGATAAATAAATAAATAAATAACGAGTATATCCGCAAAGAAACAAGCATGACAGCCTTAAGAGACAAGTGGCGCTATTTGAGCAGTTAACATAGGCTCCGTATAATTTTTGTTTTAAAAATATTATAAACAAACTTTACGTAACTATTTTATAATCTAAGTATTAATTCTAACGTAATTTAGTGTGTAGAGTGTTATCTCGCTGTTTGGAGCTATATTAACAGTGCAAAGTTGATGAAAGTAATCCAGTGAATTACTGAACTATCAATTGTTGTATTATTGAATTTATTGTAATAAGACAGTGTTTTTAAAGTGAAGCGCTAAGGTACAGTACTAACGAACTAAGTCACATTGCTATCAACACTCTATTTTTGTGTTAAAGTGAAAAAACATAAATTTTGTATTAAAGTGACGGTTATGGTATTTTGAAATGTTTAAATTTATGTTACTCGTACATCTGATTAAATCAGCGACATCTATGTGATAATAGATTACCTGAAGAGAATAACTATTTTTGAATTATCACGCCATCTACTAATTACTGGCGAAATATAGATAGGTACGAGCTTATGCTAATCGATCTGTTAGATTAAGTCTACGGTCACCCATTAGAGGGCGCGCGCATTCATCTGATTTGGGAATATTTTAATTTTGAAATAAGTCCTAGATTATTAGTCACATTGAATCTATTGTGTGAAATGATGTCGCCACCAACCGAGACTTGTGCTGCATGTGCGAAACCTTTACCCAAAAGAGAATATCTACGTTGTTGTAATTGTAAAGGAGTCTATGACATTGAATGTTTAAATATACGTAGTAAACGCTTCTATTCTTTTTATTCGTTTAATAAGGAGCGTAAAGATAATTGGAAATGCCTTTCATGTGTGAGCAAACTCCCGCGAACGAATAATTTGAATACACCAGTGCGTACTGCTGAGTCTGAAATTTCTAGTCCCCCGACTTTGGTTGTCTCACCAGAGAACTCGAATGTGGCAGTCCGCGGCAAACCACCTACAAAAAATACTCAGGACAAGAACATTCATGAAGAGGACAGCATCATCATGGAGAATATTATGTCAGAATCGCTCGATGATACAGCTATGGACTTCAAACTGCTTCTTGGTGAAATGAAGGCAATCCGTGCTGAGATGCGCTTGTTCCGTAATTCTATGACAGATCTTATGACTGCCATTAAGATGCAAACCAGCCGCATTGACTCCATCGAAACCAGAATATCAGCCTTAGAAGACAAGTCAAAAGGCTTACAACGCTGTGAAGTTTCGACTTTGGAAGAGACAGTGTCACAGTTGAAGTCACAAATATTGGAACGTGACCAAGACTTACTCGCTAATGATATCCAGATAGCGGGATTCCCTGAAACGAGTGGTGAAAATACCACACATATTATCTTGGCTATTGCCAAGAAATTATGCGTGGACCTGGATGAGCGCGATGTGGTGTCTTCAGAGCGTACAGGTTTTATACGTGATAATGGCGAGGGCTCTTCAGTTCCGCGGCCACGCCTTTTAGTCGTGCGATTGGCGCGTCGTGCTCAGCGTGATGCTCTAATACAGGCGGCACGAGTACGACGCAATATCACACTTATAACACATATAATTATCTTGTGAAGTATGTGATATGTTACAATAGTTTTTATGGCCTAATAATAATATATTGTATAAATTTTTACCTGTATATATGGAATTGTCTAAGCTTTCTTAATAGATCTTCAACGGAAATTCCTTTCATCACTTGTATACTTTATTTTCTAAACTATTTAGTGCTATTGTTGAGGGAGGTGATATTTCTTTGTTTTTTTTTTAATTTGATTTATGTTTTGTTCGTTTTGAGAGTTGTACTTTTCGCTAGCATTTTATATTGTCTTTTTTTTAATAATAATTTCTATGTCACAGTGTGCGTTAAAACATTTTTAAATAAAATTACTCTAGGAATAGCCTATATACTTGTATATTACAAGACGTTCGTTATTTTTCATAAATTATTATTGCATTTATCGACGCGTTCATTTGTGGATATGCGACATCTGACTTTACTAAGAAAATATTTATTTAATTGCAAATATGTTCAGATAACATACTCTTTTATCATACAATTTATTAGTAAAAAAAAATTATCTCTTGGTTTTCTGAATCCGGGTTCCTTATGTACACGACATGATGAATTTTTGGTTTCCCTTGATCGTCATGCGGTAGATATTATGGCGATAAATGAAACGTGGTTGAAGCCAGGTGAGGAACTGCGCGTATCGTCCCCTCCAGGATACAAGCTACGACACAAACCGCGTCCTGCAAGCGTCCGAGCACGAGGAGGGGGTGTTGGTTTTTACATTAGAAATGGTATCTACGCTCGCGTCCTGGACCATCCGAGTACGCTCACTATTGAACAGATGTGGTTAGGTGTTAAAGCAAATGGTCTGAAACTTGCCATAGGTACCGCGTATCGTCCTCCTTGGTTTCACGTAGATAATTTTATAAATGATCTTTCTGATACAGTCAGCTCATTCTCAGCCTACGACTACATTATACTGTTGGGAGATTTCAATATTAATTTGCTTGCACCTTCAGATCCTAATTCTAAAAAGCTCAATGATTTTCTTCTTTGTATGGGTCTAAGGCAGTACATAGGCGTCACACAAGCGACTCATTTTACTGATCACTCGGAAACTTTACTTGACTTAATTTTCAGTAGCTGTGATGTATCTAATATACAGGTTGATTATGTGCCAGATCTGAGTCATCATGCTTTTTTATCTTGTGAGCTGAACGTAAAAAAGCCGAAGCAATCCTCAACATCCATTACTTATAGACCAATTAAGGATATAAACTTAATAAATTTATATCCTTAATTGGTCTATAAGTAATGGATTTAATTCTGATGTTGATGCTGTATTCTGGGAAGAGCTGCTTTGCGGCGACGTAAACAGTTCTTTAACGGCTTTCAATGAACATATTTTGTACCTCTTTGATATTCAGCCCAATAAGAACGTCCTACTAAAGCTATAACGAACGAACGTACTAAAGCTATCCGTGGATCACACCAACGATTAAAGAAATGATGAAGCTAAGAGATAAAGCTCATGCAAAATGTAAGGGCCATAATTCAAAAGGAAACAAAAAATATTATAAAGATCTGAAGAGTACTGTTAATGCTGCTTTACTGAGTGAAAAAACGGCCTACTTTCGATATTTTATTAATAAAAATTCAAAAAATGCTCAAGTACTTTGGAGAAATATAAAGAAAAATGTAGCAGACTTCAACAAAAAAGATATTGCTTTGCCATCAACCTTGAATGATCCTGACGTAATAAATCACCATTTTCTACACGTGCCTGGAAGCAATAGTGTAAGTCCTTCAACATTATGCTATTTTGAATCTAACCGTTTCAATTCGTCGGTTTTCACTTTAAAATTAGTGGATGAAAATTTAGTATCAGAAATTTTGAAAATATTTCCACTAATGCTATGGGTGTTGATGGTATCACTAAAGATATGGTTCTCTTAACATTGCCACGGACTTTGAAAACAATAACCACCATTATTAATACGTCTATACAGACTGGGGTGTTCCCAGATATCTGGAAGGAAGCAATCATAAATCCTATACTAAAAAATAATCATCCTATAGAACTAAATCATCTTCGCCCTATAAGTATACTGCCTTTTTTATCTAAAATCGCTGAAAAGGCTATTTATTTACAATTAATAGAATATCTAAACCAGAACAATATTTTACCTCTTAAACAATCAGGTTTTAGGGCTGGACTAAGCACGGTTACATCACTGTTGAGTGTTGTCGATAACATTCTGACAGGATAATGGAGAGGCTACAATTTTGACTCTACTTGACTTTTCGCGTGTGTTTGATACAATAAATATTACACTGCTTCTGTCGAAGTTGGTGTATTATGGTTTTGATTATAACGCATTAAAATGGTTTGAAAGTTATTTGAATGGTCGCACACAGCGAGTCAAACTTCGAAATGAAACTGGTACCAACATTTTTTCTGCTGCGTCTCCTGTTACTCGTGGTGTTCCACAAGGGTCAATTTTAGGTCCTTTACTGTTTATTCTCTACAGTGCTGATATTACAGGCTGTTTTAAATATTGACAGTATCATTTATATGCAGACGACCTTCAAGTATACATATCATTTAGGCCGAGTAATACAAATCAGGCAGTTAACAAATTAAATCAGGAGTTAAGTATGATCGCTTGAATGGGCGAGTAATAATGAACTCATCTTAAATCCAAATAAAACCAAGTTCATGATTTTGGGGTCAAAGAAATTAATAGAACGAACGAATGCTCATAAGCCCAAAGTTATTGTTTGTGGTGACAATATTGAACAAGTATCTGAAGTTCGTAACTTGGGTATAATTATGGACAGTAGACTAAGGTTTGAAAATCATGTTATGCATACAGTGAAAAATTGTTTTTATAGATTAAAAGTATTATATAATATCCGGCAATACTTAAGTGAAGAATTAAGGGTTCAACTTTGCGAGTCATTAATACTCTCTAAGCTAAATTATGCTGACATTGTCATGGGAGAATGTTTGCTTGCGCGAACAAAACTTGTTATACAACGAGTACAAAATGCATGCGCTAGGTTCTGCTATCGAATTCCTCGTAGAGGCCATGTGACACCGTTTTTAAATCAGGGCAAACTTATTAATATGAAATCTCGTAGATCGGTTCATTACATTTGTTTACTTTATAAATTATTACAAAATCAACAACCAAAATACTTATATGAAAGGCTCTGTTTCTCGGAACGTCTCTCGCGGGAAACTGTTTGATTATTGTACCCAAGACACAGAACGGCCGCGTTTCGTGGTAGCTTTCGGTATGCTGCCATAAAGTGTTGGAATAATATACCGCCTTCCGATTAAGGGCAGCAAAACAGTTGGCACTTTTAAAATAAAACTAAAAGAATACCTTTTAAATTTGCAAAGTGAGTAGAATTCTGTGTCGATGTATCACATTTTTCTTATAAAGTATACTGTGTCTATATATTATAAAACTAACGTATACTTGCTTAATTGTAAATTTATTTATTTTGCTTTTGTATCTTGTCAAATAATTTAAATGTGTGTCTTGTGCCTTGCACATGCCTTTTGTTGTGCCCTTTTCCTAAATGCTAACAGTTTAATTTTTATTTTTTAGTTGTTATAAGTGTGTTTTTATATATAAGTAAAGTATTTATTTTCATAAGTGTTGGAACTTTTAGTATAATAAGTTAAGTTTATTCTATTCCACCTATGTCTTTGGCGTTTACTGAAAATCAGTAGTTGTAGTTACCACTATGCGGTTTCTATAACATTTCTACTGAGTAGACGCCTTTTTAGTTCATTCCATTAAATAATTATGTTATGTTAATTTGTGTATATGTTTGGAACTAAATAAATTATATTATTATTATTATTATTATTAAGAATCGTTACCAGAGTGACAATGGATTGAATATATAGTTTAAAGAACTGACAATCAGAAAACTTCTTCTAAATTGATTTAATCGTTTAGCATTATATTTTACTGGTAACGCCCTTACCAGTAGAAGGTGTTTCCTCGTTACTTACCATGAACCACATCAGCATTATGCTATTAACATGCTGGTACTCTGTGCGAGCGTGGTACTTCTTTCGACCCATTGATATTGCAACTACAATATGATGCAAAATGCAAAATATCATCATCGTCATCACTACAGCTAATAAAATTTTATTGCTAAACGTAGGCCGTATCTATAGATCCTCATAGAGGGATATATGCCATTGTTGCCACACATGTGAGGTGTGTTGGCAATTTTTTAAATATTTTAAGTTGTTATCAGAAAGATGCTGCTCCACTAATATTTCATTTTCCCTCTGTCACCTCTTACAACACCCACGGGATGATATGGGGTAGTAGATGTTATTATTAGCATTAAATAGAAGCTTATTTCAAGAAAAATAGGTAATCTAATATAAAAACATAATGTGCTAACATTAAACATAATCGACCATAACCCTACGATCACAGGCATTTTAATGCGGTAAAAATAGCAAAAGTAACTCGGCCCAATTAATGGCAGTTTTCAAATTACAGAAAGCAATGTTCGGCCGACAGATAAGGCGGGCCATCTATCGCGTAAAGTCCAACGCGACGAGCGAAATTAAAAAGACTAACTGCCTGTACGCCACACGCGGGCGGCGCTAGCTGCTGGAAAAATTGTTGCCTTGTAACTATCAGATATGTAAATTATCGAGTTTAGATTGTGTCGTGCTTTGTCTAGAGAAATGGGGATTTTGGGCAAGAGAAGTGGGGATGAGATAAAATTGTATAAGTGGAGGTGTAGTTAAATCCTAGCAGACCTAAACTGGGATTGCCTGAGCTTGGTTTCTGTGTTTCTTCTTCATGCAATAGCTGCAGCTATTCAAAAATAAACAGCAAAATCAAGCGCAGACGTGTAAGACAGACAAAGGTTTTCTTGTTGGAATCTATAATAAATTTATGGAAAGTCTTCAAACATCTACTGTTAAAAGCACGACGGTGTTAAAACCGACACGACCGGAAAGAGATCACTCGCAGACCAACGGCTTTACGTGCTTTCCGAGGCACGGGGGTGA